GGCGGTTGGGGGGTAAGAAACCCCTGGTTAAATAGGCAAGCTGCTTGAGTACTTTCAGAGTCTAGCGTCGTAAAGCAGATGGACAAGGGTGCAGGTGACTAAAAGAAGACACATTCTAGCTTTATCAGCTCTACACTTTCTCATCCCTCGTGAGACCTGCTGGGTTTTGGACAGACGAAGAATCTGCACAGGAAGTGGCTCCTTTCCCAGCTGCGGGTGGGGATGGGTTAGGAAAGGAGGAAAGCTCTGAAGGGAACTGGTTTTAATTGCTGATTTTGGACCAGTTGACTGTTGGGCACCTTCAGACAAGACTAGAGGAGGAGGTCACAGAACGGGGAGGGCTAAACGGCGACAATGGAATGACTGTAAAAAGGATTAATGGAAAGGATAGCAGGGATGCTGAGGAGACAGGGAGGAGCTCAGTGGGAAACAAACCTGCCCTTGATCCTGGGGTTGCTGGGAGGCTTACTGCCTTAACCCAGAGCAGCGCCCCCATCCTGCCTTTCACATGGAGACACAGGTCTGGGCTTCTATTGGGCAGAATTCTATTATGCAGAATTGAATTCTGTTTGGTTGAAGGAAGCTCATTTACGTTTACAGAGCACCTCCTTTGGGACAGTCCTGCATGAAGGGACAGTCCTGCATAGATTTTGGATTCAAGATTGGAAATTATTTCATGTAAGATTTTAAAGAAAGATTTATTTATGCATACAAAACTGAGGTACTGGCCAGAGGTGCGGGGGGTGGGTGAGAGGATTCACCAGAGACAGAGTGGGGTGCAGAACAGGTGGATTGAGTGAAATACATTGCAGAGGGGAGCAGTGGGCGAGACAGGAGAGGTCTGCTGGGTCATGTGGATCATCTCACTGGCCAGGGGTCAAACTTGTGCTGCAGTGGCTGGGGGTAGCTTCATAGAGCTGTGTTTTTTTTTTTTTTAACATAAGTTTATTTTTACATCATTTTGTACATTTTTTTTTTCCATCTCGATCATAGAACTGTGTTTTTACCCTTTGTGCCACCAGGGAGGGTCAGACAAGCAAATCCGTCACAAAATAGGGGCCTCCGTGGTGGCACAAGGGGTTAAGTAGCATTATTATGAAACTATCGGCCAGGGAGGTACAGGGAGGTACATGACGTAGCAGACCTCTCCTGTTTTGCCTGCTGCTCCCCTCAGCAGTGTATTTCAATCAGTCTGCTTGTTCTGTTCTCTATCTCTGGTGAATCCTTTTACCACCCCTGCACCTCTGGCCTGTACCCCAGTTCTTGTATGCATAAATAAATAAATCTTTAAAAAAAAAAGTTTTGCTTTCAACACCTATGGTCACTTAATAAGTAACCGGGTTGATTTTGTAAGAACATTTATTGAAGTAATGCTGATTTGTATAGGTTTCAGGTATGTGATGAGATCGACTTCTTTGGTTGGTGGAAATCACCTTTTTTTTTTTTTCATAATAAGCAAACACTCTGAAAAAATCAACATCAGTGTTCCAGATTTTGAAACTACCAGTGGAAAACAGATGAGGCAAAACACTTGGATGGATCAGATTAGAATTCAGTCTGAAGCTGAATTATTTCTTCTTTTTTTTTTCTGCTTTAATAAGCCCAATTAAAATAAATGTTTGGCTCACCTCTCACCCTGAGCGAACAATTACTTGGGCTGAATTCTTCTGAAGAGGGTCAGGCGGGATGGAGGGGTCAAGAAAGAGGGCGCGGCTGTCCTGCATCTAAGCCACCTCATGGAGTGGCCTTGGAGAAGGGAAAGCGCTTAGCCTAAGGGCGGTGACTGTCCTGTGCCCTTCAGAGAGAGCCAGCTGGCCCAGGCTGCTGCTCCACTGTGTCCTCAGGAATGTGTGGGTTTAGCAAACGGTAACACTGAGCTGCCATGTCCACAGAGGAGCCCAGGCTCGCTCTCTCTGTACCTTTCTCCTGGGCTATACTGCAGCACGTTTTGACTTTTCCTTATCAGTTGGTTTTAAAGTTTTACTTTCTGTCAGTTTCCACATTTGGTTAAAGAATCCCAGCACAAGGCTCATTTGTTCCATTGTAATACAACTGCTTTTGAAAAAACTTTCAGTTGTCAACTAATATACAAGTGTTTTAGATTTGGAGAGGATCTCAGAAATGATTCTCATCTAACCACTGCCTGTCCACAGAGGCAGTGACTGGCAGAGTGACACTCAGCAGGAGGTCACACGCACCCCCAGTTAGTGCCATGGCCCTTACTGATCAACCTGGTGTCGTTTGAGTAATTTCAGCAATTCATGCTGTTTTAGATTGGGATGAGTGCCTTGTGTTTACATTCTGCTTATTGCCCCCAAAGTGATTACACATAAATTTAGACTCAAATGTTCACATCAGTATTATTCATGCTATAATATTTAAACAGAAGAAAAAACACATGACTATCAACTGATGGATGGATAAACAAAATGTGGACGTATACTCAATGAAATATTATTCAGTCATAAAAAGGAATAAGGTTCTGATATGTGATGAACCTTGACAACAAGGGGAGGCAGAGAGGGCTGGCCTTTTAAGCTGTTAAAAGACCATATGTTACAGATCCTGTGTACAATAAAATGTATAGATTAGGCACATTCACAGAGAAAGAAAGTAGGTTTGTGTTGCTATGGCCTTTGGAAGGGGGAGAATAAGGAGTGGCAGCTGTTAGGTATGGGCCTATTTGGGGTAAAATGCATTTTTCTAGAACCAGAGATTAGTGATGGTTGCACAACTCTGAATATACTAAAAATCACTGAATTGTCACTTTTTGAAAAAGGGTGAATTTTATGTATGGAATTATGTTTCAATAGAGCTGTTATATAAGAAAAAAAAATCCTGATTCTGCCTTTTACCAGTTGGGTGATTTTGGGCAATGACTCCAAATCCAAGTAATCTCAGCCATGAAATGGAAATAATGATGTAGACCACACAGGGTCATTTTTATAAATGAGATCGTGAACTCTAAACCTCACATGTATTTAGGTTGTGAGTGGGTTATAAGATCATTGTAAACTGGGTTTTTAATTTGTATTGTCTTCCTTTTAAAGGATATTTTACTTATAAATAAAATGTACATACCTACAATGTGCAATATATTTTCGATAGCACTAATAATGTCTGACTACAATAATCATTCAAATAAAATAGTTTAGAATTAACTTAAAATTTTATTATTGTAGAAGCTGTATTTGAAGAGCTATACATTTTTCACCTTTTTTTTTTTTTTAAAGTTTTATTTATTTATACAGAACGGGGTATAGGCCAGAGATGTGGAGGGTGAGAGGATTCACCAGAGACAGAGTGGGGAGCAGAACAGGCAGGTCGACGAAGTTCACTGCTGAGGGGAGCAGCGGGCGGGTCAGGAGACATGCCGGCGGGTCAGGAGACATGACATGCCATGCCATGTGGATCTCCGGGGCAGGCAGGGATCAAACTCATGCGGAGGTGGCTTTAAGCTTCTTAGTGCTGTGCTTTAACCCGCTGCGCCACTAGGAAGGGACCTTACCTTTTTTTTTTAACCCTTTTAAGAAATAGTTAAGTGTGCAAGATTAAGTCTGTGCATGTTCTAGTACAACGGATCTCCAGAAAATTTTCATTTTGATAAAAACCGTATAACTCTCTATTGCTCTCTTTCCCAGCCCCCTAAAGCCACCATTCTATTTTCTTTTAATTAGTTAATTTATGCATACAGTACTGGGGTACAGGCCAGAGGTTCCGAGGCAGTGAGAGAATTCACCAGAGACAGAGTGGGGAGCAGAACAGGCAGATCCACGAAGTACACTGCTGAGGGGAGCTGCGGGCGGGTCAGGAGAGGTCTGCCACGCCATGTGACGGTCACCTCCGGAGCTGGGGATTGAACTCGCACTGAAGCAGCTGTGGCTGTGCCCTAACCTACTGCACCACCAGGGAAGGCCCTTTATTTTTTACTTCTATAAATTTGACTACTTTCTTTTAAGTGGAATCACACGATATTTTCTTTTTGTGCTTGGCTTATTTTACTTGACATAATATTCTTAAGTGTAACCCACGCTGAAGCTGTATATCACATTGGTTGATTTTCATACGTTGAAAATGTTCTTTGTGCTTGAAAATAATGTGTATTCTGCTGCTATTGGGGGCATAGTTCTGTATGTCTATTTGGTCTGTTTGTTCATAGTGTTGTTTAAATCCTTTGATTTCTTATTTATCTCCTATCTGGATATTCTATCCATTATTGAAAGTGGGATATTGAAAGTTTCTGCCATTATTGTGTTGTTGTCTATTTTTCTTTAAGTTTTTAGACATCTGCTTCATATATTTGTATGCTCTGATTTTTTTGGTATATATTTGTAATTGTTGTACTTTCTTGATGAGTTGACCCTTCTGTCATTCTGCAATGCCCTTCTTTGTCTGTTGTGATAGTTTTTGGCTTACAGCCTATTTGTGTGATGTTAACACAGCATCACATCTCCTGCCCTCCGTTGGTTTCTTTTGCTCAGGACATCTTCATCCATCCTTTCACTTTCAGCCTGTATGTGTCCTTAAATCTAAAATGAGTTTCTGGTAAGCAGCAAGTGGTTAGAACTTTTTAAAAATCAACTCAGCCATCAAGAGCATTAGTCTTTTTAAACAGTTCTTGTAACTCAATTTGTAAAGCTGAATGCTTTTAAAACAAATGTTTTTCAGAAAGACTAGTAACTTGATCTCCTTTCATGCGATATTCTTATCTTTCTCCTCTAACAGAGACAACATACCTAATTCATCGACAAGACCACAATCTGATTGCAAAGATGTGTTCCACGAACCCGGGCAATTGGGTCACTTTTGATGATGATGCTGCTTTTCAATCTTCTCAAAAGCCAAAGAATTTTCCTCTGGAAAATCAAGGCACCTGTAGGCCAAATGGACTCAAGCTGAACCTCTCGGGTCCTAGGGAGTTTCCCAGTGGTCCCTCCTCCACCAGCAGCACCCCCCTCTCCTCTCCCATCATAGACTTCTATTTCAGTCCAGGACCTCCAAGCAACTCTCCCCTTCCCACACCCACCAAAGACTTTCCAGGTTTTCCTGTTGTCCCCAAAGCAGGAACTCACGTGCTTTATCCTCTCCCGGAGTCATCTGCCAGCAGTCCACTCACACCGGGAGCAGCTTCCTCCTGCTTGCCTGCCAGGCCATGTCTGTCCCAGGCTTCCTCGCCCAGTGACCACTCAGGTACACACCCAGCCCCCAAAGTGGGTCTTGCAGATGAAGGCCCTCACCCGGCTGCAGACCCCGGGCTCCAAAGTGATACCTCCCAGTTTCAGTATTTTCGGGAGGACTGTGCTTTCTCAAGTCCATTTTGGAAAGATGAGAACAGTGCTTCCCTGTTTCCCACTGATCCTCCAGGAAGCAGAAAGACTTTCCCATCAAGGGACAAACAGATACCCACGGAGCAAAAAAGCTTAAATCAGTGCTCCCTCAGCTACATTTGTGAGAAGCTTGAACATCTCCAGTCATCTGAATACCAGGACTCCCTTGGAAGTTTGTCCACACAATGTCTGCATGCGGAAGACGCTGCCTCTTCCTTTGTTCCCCATACACTCTTCAGAAGTCAGCCCAAAACTGGATGGTCTTTTATGCTGAGAATTCCTGAGAAGAAGAACATGATGTCTTCCCGGCAGTGGGGACCCATTTTTCTGAAAGTCTTGCCTGGAGGAATTCTGCAAATGTATTATGAGAAGGGGTTAGAAAAACCATTCAAAGAGTTACAGCTAGATCCACATTGCAGGCTTTCTGAACCCAAAGTTGAGAACTTTAGTGTGGCAGGAAAAATCCATACTGTGAAGATTGAACATGTGGCTTACACAGAAAAAAGGAAATACCATTCTAAGACAGAACTAGTTCATGAACCAGACGTAGAACAGATGCTGAAGTTGGGGTCCACAGAGTACCACGACTTCCTTGATTTTCTGACTACTGTGGAGGAGGAGCTGATGAAGCTGCCAGCTGTTCCAAAACCCAAGAAGAACTATGAGGAGCAAGAAATTTCCCTGGAAATTGTGGACAACTTTTGGGGGAAAATCACAAGAGAAGAAGGAAAATTGGTAGAAAGTGCTGTGATAACTCAAATCTGTTGCCTCTGTTTTGTAAATGGAAACACGGAATGCTTTTTAACCTTGAATGATCTTGAATTGCAGAAGCGAGATGAACACTATTTTGAAAAAGACCCAGACAAGAAAGGGATTGTTATTCTGGACTATCATTTTCATAAGTCCGTAAAAGTGCAAGAATTTGAGCAATCAAGAATCATTAAGTTTGTACCCCTGGATGCCTGCCGGTTCGAACTGATGCGTTTTAAGACTCTGTACCATGGAGAAGATCTTCCCTTTTCCCTGAAGTCTACGGTTGTGGTCCAGGGGGCATATGTGGAACTTCAGGCCTTTGTCAACATGGTCCCGTCACAGGCCAGTTCCTCGAGGTCCTGTGACAACATAATGATACACTTTCCTGTCCCTTCACAGTGGATTAAGGCTCTCTGGACCATGAACCTCCAGAGGCAGAAGTCCCTGAAAGCCAAGATGAATCGCCGGGCTTGTCTGGGGAGTTTACAAGAGCCTGAGTCTGAACCTGTCATACAGGTCACAGTGGGATCAGCGAAATACGAGAGTGCCTACCGGGCCGTGGTGTGGAAGATTGACCGGCTTCCCGATAAAAATTCAAGTAAATAGCAAACTCCCCCACCCCCTTGATTCACGTAAATAGCAACCCCCCTCACCCCCGCCACTTGCCTTTCCTGTGAAATAGATGATTTTCACCCTCCTTGGGCTGAGATAGGCTGAGGCAGATGGCAATAACTTCAGTCAGCTGAGGCCATGTTTCCGTGGCTGGTAGGAGACAGAACATTTAGTCAAACACCTGGGTTATTTTTAACTTTTGTGCCTATTCTACCAGAGAAGTTTAACTTAAAAAAATTTTAATGTCATAAGAAAATACCATCCCAGGCTAAGATTTTGTTGTGGATGGTGGCACTGAGGGGATATTTGCAGTTCAATGTCTGACATCAACCATCACCCTCAAAATATCAGAACTGTTCCTCACATGGCTTAGATTGCTTAATGAAACCTTTAAGCATCTGTTATCCATGAATGCTTTTTCCTGTAGTTTCAGCCATAACATTTCCTTCTTAGGATTTAGCTCCCTGATCTTTGAAATAAGACTGTCTTTTTTTAAACCCAAATTGATTTATTTGGCCAAATAGACCCACTTGGCCACATCTGTTATCTGTTTCAAAATTAGGTAGACATAACTTATGTGTTTAAAATCCAGTTAATTTTTAAACATTTTGAAAAGAAAACAATCAATGTAGACATTCAGAACTCTGAAGAAATCATCCTACACCTCATTTATTTTAGAATAGTTAGTTGTGGGTGTAGTAGAGCAAAAAAGCAAATTTTGAAATTAGGACTTGCTGTTTTAGTTACATTATTTCTAGCAGAACACTGGGCTAAGGAGTTAGGTTGGGGACAGATTTGACTTGATGCATATATTCACTTAACCAAAACTTTATTAAACATTTAACTGTATACCAAGAGCCACATCAGTTGCTAGGCATAGAGAGAAATAAAGCCTGATCCAGTCTTCCAGGGAAATTGAAGTACCTCTTAAGGTCCTCCAGGCTGTAGACTTCAGAGGAAGTATTTTTGTTCACTTAATTCCATTGTAGTGTTTCTCAACTCTGAGCGTGGCGTTAGAATAGCCAGAGAACTTTTATTTTTATGTCCTGATCTCACATTTATTTTAGAGCCATTCACCGCTATAATTTGTATTAAATAAGATATACTCTACAGTGGGGGTAGTGAGGTTACCTGAAGGGATGAGAACATTTGTCTCCCTGACATTAATTGAAAGGAACAAAGGAGAGTTTTTCTATCTTCTTGTCTCCAAAGGGGCTCAGAAGTCTGGCCCCATGTATAAAGCTTGAATAATCTTTTATGAAAAAGGAGTGTAAGAGAAAGGAAGGTACTAACATGGACAGACCCATGCAGCAGGTAGATTTGCAGTCACAATTATGCCCCTCGGACATACAGGACACTTTGCATAATACTTTGCATAATAATCTTGATGTTTAGCATCCAGTCCAAGTCTGTCAATTAAATCAGAATCCCTGGGGGAAGGACTCTAGCATGTTTTGAGAGTGCCTCAGGTGAACCCAACTTGTAGCCAGGGTTGAGGGATTCTGTTCTGTGGGCCTTGCAATGTTCTGGAGCAGGAGGAGTGAGCCCCGACCAAAGTGGGCCTCCCCCTGGGCTCTGCAGGGCCGTCTTGTCAGTCACTTGTTTTCTGTTGCCTTAACATCTGTTACCTTGTTTTAGCTCAGGCGATGGTCCTGCCAGACTAAGGACACAGCCCAGCAGACGGGTCGCCCATGCCCCTGTGCGAAGGGCAGTCCCCCACATGGTGGCCTTCCCGAGCGCCCACTCTTCTCGGTTCATGCCAGTTCTGCTCCTAGCGTCCGCATGACTCCCATCAGTTACAGTTCTAGTCCCAAGGGGCTCAGGGCGAGGAGGTGATGAGAGCATTAACCCACAGTGGCCCCAAGCCCAGCTCATCTGCAATGTGATGGGAATATCTTCCACAGGGGATACTTCCTGTTTTCTTTTATGACTTTTCTTAGGAAAAAGCTAAAGCCTTTCCCAGATGATGTTCCTTCCAGGGAAACAAGTTTTGAGGAGAAGATTCCAAATGACCTGTTCCAAAAGTTATATGTGCTACTTTTAGGCTAGAGGGGTTATTAAAACCAGAATATGATTGTGTTTTATTATGCTAAACATAAAGGAAAAGAGGAAAGCGGGCCAGAATCCTGCTTAATCTCCTATATCCCCAGAACTCCTTCGAAGTCTGGGTGATGCCCCAATATCTGTGGTTTTCCTGCGACCCTAAAGTTGGCCACTAGGACTGGGAAAAAAGGCCCAGCAGAGCTGGCATGTAGATTTGCAGTCACAATTATGCCTCTCAGAGTGGAGCATGAAGGGTCGGGGTGTGGAGGGCAGGTGTGGGGGCGGGGGAGGGTCCAGGCACTCAGGAGGGCGCTGAGGAACAGAGCACTCCACGGGCCCTGACCGTGGCAGTCACGCCTAGTTTAGATGGAGACCCAAAACCAATCATTCTTTTCCAGTTTTGGAAGGGGAACGAATCTATAACTCCCAGTGAAATTGATTCTGTTTATAACATTGCATTTTCCCAGAGTTAATGGCATGGTTGTTGATTCAATCAACAAGAATTGGAGAAGAAGGGCTCATCCATGAACTCATTCCTTCCTAAATTTCCACTAAGTGTGAGTGCTGGGTGTTGGGGAGGGAGATAGAAACATGATCCCAGCGCTCTGGAAACAAAACAGTCTAGTAGCCAAGATGGACTTGGACGCAACTGTGCAAGTGCCTGTGGGAACGTGTTCTCCTCAGGTGTGTACAGCGCACAGACTGATCCTGGAGAAGTGGCTGACAGACTGCCAGGGCACTGGGAAGCCTGTCTGAAGAGATGACGGTTTTGCTTGCTGTGCAAGGATCAGGAAGACGCCATGGAGAACAGAGACACAGAAACACAGGCTTGTAGGTGGGGGCTGACCCAGGCTTAGGGAGTGAGTTGGTGGAGAAGAAACAGCAGGAGCCTCGCTGTGGGATGCAGCATCTGTCAGCAGTGCCCTGGAGTGTTTTCAGGCAGCCTCGTGATGGAATCAGCTTGTTTTAAAAAAATGCATGCGTTGTGGAGGAGAGATGCGGGAGTAGATTATAGATACAGAGAGGCTGGTAGGAGGTGAGAGGTGCTGAGCAGAGCCCGTGACAGACAGTGGGAGCATTTGTGGGGAGCATTCGGTGGGGGTGAGGCTGTGCTGGGAAGCAAAAGAAATCACCCCAGACCCCTCTGCAGTCTCCTGCACCAGGAGGGTTAGCTAAGGAAAAACAATAATGGGTGAAGAATCCAGCCTACTTGTAAATTCTTAATAATGGATCAGACCAGGAATATTTACATTTTGGGTCCTGGGGCATCAAGGAGAGAAGGGGAGCACTCACATGACAAGGAGGTGGTAACCTCTTTCTTACTGTGAGAGTAAAGATGAGATTCTTAGATAGCAAGTACACGGTACATGTTTACTGATAAACCTACAACTCAGGGAGACCCTCCCCCACCTTCTGGGTCATAAAAGGGAGAGCAGTGATTGCTGCTTCTATCAGGAAAAGGGCAGAAGTTTAGACCATTGTGATCTCTTTTTTGATTAGGGAGGAACTAAGGATTTGGGCAAGAACAGAAATTTCTTCCAGCCTTGAGGCCTTCACTGCTCTCAGGCAAAACCATCTGCATCCTCTAAGTCATGGTAAAATTCTTCCCGAGGCCCACAGGGCCATGACTGGCCTCTAATTCCCTTACCAAGGTGACAAGAAGTCCTTCTCAGGGCCTAATGGAGGAAGGTTTATTTGATCATTTTGGGGGGACTGAGCCCCACAGCTGGGTGACGAAATCTAGAGGAGGCGCCTCCAAGACATTGTTGATCTGTGGGTAAGTGAGGTGACAGGAGGAGTTAGGGGCTTTGTTTTGGTGATGGTGCCTCTCATCACATCTCCCTGACTGCAAGGGAGAGTCTCGTTAGGTCACTAGAACTTTAAAATCATTCCCCTAATAAGGCCCAGTCCTGCCAATCAGACTCTTGGGGACGAGGGCCTGGTGTTGGTGCCCGTGAAAGGGTCTGCCAAGAGCTGGGTGAGGATGGCTGAGCTGGCACCTCTTCTGGGAAGCCTGTCAGTGCTGAGATGGAGTGCTTTCCTCCCTGTCCTGTACACCCGTGTCACGTTTACTAGTAGGGAGCTCATTCAGAACAGTGACGAGTGGGCGTTTCCAGAGGCTGGCGGGTCTTGATCTTGACCTTCAGAAATTCTTCTGGAGCGTGTGCTGCCACCTGGCGGCACACACAGCATAGCACTTTACAGGCGTGCTAGTCAGCTGCGCGGTTGTCATTCACTGCAAAGTGCCTTTGCCATCAGAGTTGCTTTGTCAGGCCTGCGTGCAAAGCGAGGCCCAGAGAAAGGCCATGGGCCATGTCAGGGAGGGGGTGGGGGTGACTCTGCTGCCCAAGCTTCTCTGCGTCTTTGGAGTGGTGGGGAGGGAGGCTAATACCAGCCTGGCAAATCTGCCTCTGAGAAGCCTCGAAAGATTAGACTGGTTCCGGGAACAAATCCGTGTCCTAAGGACGTGCTCCTCAAGCTTCTGTGTGCACGTGAAGTCACTGTTAGAATGCAGGTCTGACACCGCAAGAGGGCCCTGGGTACCAGGTTTCCCACACATGCTTAAGCGATGCTCATACTGTGCCCTACCACACCTAGAGTAGTGGGGTCTTAGGATGTGTCTCTTTTCCTGTGTGACTTTAATATCAGGCAGGTGGTTAGGGAACAGAAGATTGAATAAAACATTACCCTTTTCTGATCAGTTTCTGAAAAAACCTCTGTTATGAGAAAAAAGTAAGGCCACTAAGGAGACTAATTAAAACATTTTCATTGCCTGTCCTGTGGATTTTTGAGGTCAGGATTGGCCTTTCTTTGTCACTTGTGATTCAGGGCAGGTGGAAGGGCCGCCGGCCCTCCCTGTCTGCTAAAGTGTCATCAGTGTCAGTACTCCTTTCAGTTTTACAATAAAGGGTGGCCTGGCAGGTAGCTGGAGTAGTTCACTCAGACCAAAGCATGAATAGGACAGAGGGACAGACCAGCCCTTCCTGACTAGCTTTTCTTGGGCGATGCAAGAGAGAAAAAGGAAGGGGAGAAACAAGGACAGGAAGAGAAAGGAATCGAAGAAGAGAAAGACTGAGAACACTGGCTCACGTAAATTCAGAAGGGGAATGGAGGTGGGAGAGAGTCAATGAATGAGTTCTCAACCTTCCCAATTTCATCAACTTCGAAATATAAATCGCTTTTGTCTTATTTTTCTGCTCTGTCATCAGCACATGGTTCACGCTCTCCACTTGAATCACCATCTTACCACTCTTACCAGTTCTCAGCACCTGCTTCTGATGGCTATCATTTTGGTTCAAGTGGTGCCAGATATGGACTAGAGACCTAAGTAGATTTTGTGATTTTCATTACTTCTGAAAGTGATGGAGCGAGATAACAATTACGGAAGCCCGAGAGTGCCCCCTGGTGGTAGGACTGAGACAAACAACATATTTTCCTTCTAAATTCTTTTTTAAACTGTGACAAGTATCTATGTCAAGTAACAGTAGCCCAAAGCGTGCCAGACTTTGTGCCAGGGACAGGCATGATACCTCTCTTCATGGAGAAAATTCTGAAGGGGGAGTGTGTCACTAAACATTGTAGAGTATTTACAGTTCTTAACAGCCAAGGAAAATGCCTGAAAAACTTGAAAGGGAAATGTTTTCCTTTATCTTTTATAAGTTTTTTTTTTTTAAAGGGAAAAACAGATTGAAAGGTTTTGCTTCTAACATTGGAGTTCTAGATCTTCAGATGGGTAATTTTCATTCAAAAGTCACCAAATTGCTTTTTTCTTATAAAATGTGTTACCAAATTAGTTAACTTCTAATGTTTTCAGCTCTACAAGTATAGACTTCTCAGTCCCTTCATTAACAAAATTAAAGTTATATAGTAGCCACATTAAGATAGATGTTCCATTTTTAATTGACCAGCACTTGGTAACATAGCCTCTCTGTCTAGCATATCTGTCTGTAGCATGAACTTGGTGTACTGCTGCTTCAGAGCTCTGTGTGTGCCAGCTGGCTTAATCCTCACAACCCCGGAAGGTTCAAGTTATCATCCTCTCCAAGGCTCAGAAAGATCAAGTAACCTGTATGGGATTATACAGCTATGAAGTAACAGAGCTGGGATGGGACTGGATAATGGGGACCCAGTTTGTGTTCTTTCTTTTTTTTTTTTAAAGATTTATTTGTGCATACAGAACTGGGTACAGGCCAGAGGTGTGGGGGCGGTGAGAGGCTTCACCAGAGACAGAGTGGGGAGCAGAACAGGCAGATCAATGAAGCACACTGCTGAGGGGAGCAGTGGGATGGGTCAGGAGAGGTCTGCCGCGCCATGTGGTCACCTCCCGAGGTGGGGATTGAACTCATGCTGAAGTGGCTTTAACTTCTTAGTGCTGTGCTTTAACCCACTGCGCCACCAGGGCGGGCCCTAGTTTGTGTTCTTATCAGTGCCATCAAGACCTCAGAGCTCCCAAGTTAAGTTTAAATGAACTTACTGTGTCCCTGCTGCAGAGAGAATACAAGAAAGGGTAATGGGTTTGGAAATCTCCAGTGTGTGTGTGTGTGTGTGTGTGTGTGTGTGTGTGTGTGTGTAAGAATAAAGTCACCACTTGGCCGCAGTGTCTGGGCAGTTTAAAGCACCTCAGCGGCCTCTGTTGACCTACCCTAGGAGATGGCTAATGAGCATCCATTGGCTAATAGACTGATACTTTTCAGGGCCTTTTACAGTTTTAGAATTCTATTAGTCTCTCTACAAGAAACAGGTTGTAAGGAACGAAAGGCAACTTATCTTTTAAGAATTAAGTGAAATCCTTTAAATTCCTGTTTTTGTGCCTTAAGCTATATTTTGATGGAAATGTTCTTTTTCTGTCAGTGGTGCGTAATTGAATTTGGCTTTTGAATGACTGTCATCTCATACATGTATTTAAGTAAAGATAGTTGTTTTGGCTGTATAATTGTGGACAATGCAATAGAATCATGGACATTCGTAGTTCCTACACTAATTACACGGAAAGTAATTTTTACTGTCTTATCACATGCAGGCATTATATGACCTCACTTAAAATCTTTGAATATAGCCCATATGCTAGGTCTGGCATGGAGGCTGTCTTTGATCAGAGTAGATACTTAGTAAATGGAAAATTTAATGAAAGCAAATATTAGATGGGAACACTGAAGCTAGTATGCTCATCTTTACACTGTATATAATCCAGTCAAAGTTTTATGAGCATTACAATCATAAAAATATCTTCTGAAATGTAGTAAATTTTGTTTAACTTTAAAAAAATCAGAATTTTTTAGAATGTGACTTAATTTGGACTGAGGTTTACCTTTTCGTTATTAATCAACAACCACAGTGGTAAGAAAATGAATGCATTTATTACAGAAGTTTTATTCAGTCTGCTTAAGTCTTGTGAAAGATCCTGTGCGTATTGTAATGAAATAATGATGCTTAATGTAAATATTACTCATACTTTAATTAAAGAAACTTAGCATACTTCTAATTTAAAACATTTTTCAGGAGTTAATGTATGCATTTGTATAGTAATAAAGTTGTACATATTTTAAAAATAGTACTTAAAAAGCACAGTGCCCCCAGTTAATGCTAAATCACGAATTTTGATGGTATGTTGTTTAACTGGAATTCATTTTGCTTTAGTGCTAACAGAATTGTTTATTAAGTCAGGGATGAGTCCTTAAGTTCAGGAGAAATGTTCAGTGGCTGTTGAAACGCTTTACCTGACCATTTCATTTTTCCCACCTCAAGGTCCTGATCATCCCCATTGTTTGTCGTACAAACTAGAACTTGGGTCAGACCAAGAAATCCCCTCTGACTGGCACCCATTTGCCACTGTTCAGTTTGGGATACTTGGTGCCTGCGCCTCACGGACAGAGGTCAGGTCCCTGGGGGTGGAGAGTGATGTCCAGCCACAGAAACATATCCAGCAGCGGTCCTGCTACAACATCCAGGTAGGCCCAAAGCCCTCCGCTTTGTGTTGGGGTTTCCAGAGCTGTGATCTGACTTGTGTTTAAATATTGGCTTTGCTCTCTCAGGTGATCTCGTGCACCCGAGTGGTGCGTATTTGTCCTAGAAAAGAGCTCCGTCATGGAAACTAGATGGTCACCTGTGAGCCTGTTTTTTTTCCCCTCAGCTCTAGAGAACATCAAGAGCCCAGCACACAGTGCCGCCTACTTAACAATTCAACTCTGAATGGAAAACAGGCTATTAAAAAGGAATTCGTGCATCAAAAGCATATTTATAATAAAAATTATGTTGAAATATCTTTTCCCAAGATATGTTCTGTTGAACACGTGTTGCATACAAGAAGAAAATAAGTTGGGGAATGCTGTAGGCTCCTGTTAAATGAAGGCTCTGAGAAGCCTTGAAATAAAGAAACTTGTTAAACTTAACCCACTTTCCCCAACTCTTGCTTGCAAGGTGATATGCTTATGAAACACCTTCTGGAATAGTATTCTACGCTGCACCCTATAGGTATTGCTGCATTATTCTTACAACAGCTTTAAATGCTCACCCTACTTCTGCCTTCCCAGGGCAGAACAATTAAAGACATGCACTTGCATCTGTCTGAGCTTGCTTTCTCTTCTCATCTTCCAAGTTAGTAAATAAAGACAGGACCACTGCCTCCTGCTTCCTGTAGTATTTTGAAATGATGACATGTTTTTTGTTTATCAACATACTGTTTAATTAGAAGATATTTCCGAGCACACAAGTATTGAATAGCAAATAAACTGGTGGTCCAGTTTTAAATCTAGCTTTTGTTGTCATGCACATGAATAATATTTTCTAATAACGTTTTAAAATCGGTATGTTACTTGAACCTCAGCTGGGATTAATATCACTCTGACTTCCTCCTCATTTATTCTTAAATCAGAAATGGTGTGATGATAGAAGATCTCGTTAACACCACTTAGTGCTTGTATAACAGGGATAGAGATTAGGCTTTTTCTTTATTTTGGACTGTGTTTACAAATCTGTACGCTTGGGTCCATGCAGTGGATATTTTTTGCTATTGATAAAATTAACGATGTCTGGCTACTCTCTTGTGTGTCCCTCTGGGGCCCCCCAGCATCTGGGAGGTGATCAGGCTATAGAAAGAGGCCTTGCTCCAGGACACACCCCCTGCTAGGACAGCCTGCCTCCAGTGACTGGTGGATACAGGGATAGAAAGACTACTTGCTTCATTTTGGGATAACTGCAGGGCCATCTGGCTTCAGTTCTGCTTGGGATTGACTGAGCCTTTATTTATTTTTATTTTATTTTAAGATTTATTTACTTGTGCATGCAGAACTGGGGTACAGGCCAGAGGTGCAGGGGCAGTGAGAGGATTCACCAGAGACAGAGTGGGAAGCAGGATAGGCAGATCGACTGAAGTACACTGCTGAGGGGAGCAGTGAGCAAGACAGAAGAGGTCTACGGTGCCATGTGGGTCACCTCCCTGGCTGGGAACTCGTGCCGCAGTGGCTGTGATAGCTTCATAGTGCTGTGCTTTAACCCATTGCGCCACCAGGGAGGGCCCTGTTTAAAGTTTTCTCTGTGACTGAAGTGTAGGTCAGGATCCCTGGAGACTTTGTTTATACCTATATTTCCAGTCACAGGATGTGTCAGCTCAAAATTATACTAAGTCTTTCAGTTTTTAATAACATTTACTAATTGATAAACAGTTGGTGGCTGTCAGTTTCAAAATGTTACCTTCCATATTGTAAGTATCTAACTGAACAATATCCAAGTGCCTGATGTAATCAGATTTCGGGAACACAAGGTGTCTGTGTGACCCTTACCTTCTAGTGGGGAATGAAAGTAATTAGTAACTGAATAAATAATAGAATTTTCAATAATAGGGTCTAAGAAGAGGATAAAACAGGGCTATAGGATAGGTGTTGGAGGGCTTCCTTATCTAGAAGAGCTTGCGTGAGGAGGTGATGTATGAGCTTTTTGGAGAAAATGAGGGGCAGGCAGATGGTTCTGCTGAGTTTGTAAACTGGTTTATAGTTTGTAAACTGGCTTGGTTTAGCTGACCAAAGAACTGATTTGGTCAACAATCTCAGAAGGGCCAGAGGCTGGGTAATTATCCTTGGGGTATAATCAATGTCATATCTAGCCAGATCTGAGAATGTCGTATCAATACACCCACACTGTGGCCCTTTTATAAAAGCTATGTTAGACTTAGAAGAGAGGAGAGTCCTCGTTAAGCTTGACACTAGAGAGGAGAGTCTGGGGGCTCCGTGGCTCAAGGGGAGAGCAGAGTTCCTTAGGAAGGAGCTAGCATGAGGAGGAGTGGCTGTGCCTGTGTCCAAAGGATAAAGTGACTACTGTCCCTGCCTCGCCTATAGAGTAGGACTGGACAGGTGTTAGTGCCGTGTCACATGTGTTAATACTGCCTGGTTTGTTTCTGCATAACAGGTTGAAATAGAGAAGAAGTGGATTAAAATTGACGGAGAAGATCCAGATAAAGCTGGTGACTGCGTCACGCAATAGGAGCAGCGAGAGTAAATGACGACTCAGTTTTCAGCTATGTAATTCACAGAAAGTGAACCATATGAAGTTTTGCTGCTGTACAGTGGAGACGACTTCTGAATAGAGGTCCAATGTCTGTGGTTAGAGAAGTTTAGACCTGAAACTGAACAATCTATATTTTATGCTTTTGATATGTTTGTGCCCCAGGGGTTGAATCTAAAATGTATCTGTAACTTGTGTGATGTTTAGTTTCCTATTGAAACTCAAAAGCACTGTTATTCAGTGTGTTACCTGACTGCCAGCTTGGGTAAAGGGTTTTGATTTGTGATTACTCAGTGGCTGATTGTTTTGTACCCTGGATTCCCAAGTGCCATATTTATTGTCCTCCAGTATCCTTTTCTTGCTGTGTTAGCACCTGTATTGGAGGGCAAGGCAATCAAATGAGACATAACCAAATTACTTAATTTACTCTCTGACTCATCCTTTAAATACAGCTGGTATTGGAACCACAACTTATGAGTTGTGGAAATACCTGCAATTTTGAATTATTTAGCCTTCCTGTCTTCATACCACACTGGTGACTAATCATCAGCAGTATTTGGTACCTCCCTTACCCCAACTGTATTCTCATTTTCAAAATGTGTTTGTATTCTGGCTTGTACGGCAAAGAAGCTATTTGAGTTGACATACATATTTTAGTGCAAGTCACTAAGACTTACTGCCTTTACTGCCTTTTGCTTGGAGAAATTCCTTTCAAAAATGGAATCCCAGTGTTGGATACTAGCTAAAATATTTATGTACATTAGATATGAATTTTTAAAGTTCATGAATATGATTTCCCAAAAGTACAGATGCTAAAAAATATTTTGATAAAGTATTATTTGTAATTAACACAAGCCTCTCTTGAGTAGAAGTTTAAATTATATTATGATTATTTTATGTTAGTTCTGCTGTTGTGCTATTAATGCTAATTCTGTTTAATTTAGAGTATTTTTCTTGAAAAGAAGGCAAAGTGAAAGATACTAAATTAATGTTATCTAGATTTCCAAGAGGTGGCATTCTGTTTTTTACAGTTAGATTAATCTTTGGTTTATATGGAAAAGTCAGTGACATTAGCATTTATAATTCAGGTTATGATTTCCTTTCAGTATTTATAGTGAAAGGATAAACTTTTGAAATTTATGAAATTTATATTCTAGCTATTTTTTAGCCTGAAAAACAAAGCCTTCCATGTAGTATTAAAACACCTTTGAGTTACATTGAATCTTAAATATGACTAGGAGGTATTTTTCTTTATTTACCAAAGTGTTTGATTAAAAACAGATGTAATAATGTTCTTCCAAATAACACTTATTTGTTGGGCCGCAGAACTTATGTCATACATTTTATTAATTTGTATTAGATTCATTTTAATTTGTTAAGAAATGGATTCAAACAAACATTATGATGGTCAGTACCAATCAACAGATTTTATTGCTTTTTTTTTTTTTAAAGATTTATTTATTTGTGCATACAGAACTAGGGTACAGGCCAGAGGCTCAGGGGTGGCGAGAGGCTTCACCAGAGACAGAGTGGGGAGCAGAACAGGCAGATCGACGAAGTACACTGCTGAGGGGAGCAGCGGGCGGGTCAGGAGAGGTCTGCCACGCCATGTGGTCTCCTCCGCCATGTGGTCTCCTCCGTGGCAGGCGGGGATCAAACTTATGCGGAAATGGCTTTAGCTTCTTAGTGCTGTGCTTTAACCCGCTGTGCCACCAGGGAGGGCCAGATTTTATTGCTTTTTATTCGTTGCCATAAAGACAAAGCCGTAGAAGTTGACTGTTCTAGTGAATTGACATTACTCTATTTAACTGTTTGATGCACTGCCCATACCATATGCTTAAACCTTCTGGTTGCTGTACATAGGAGGGCAAATCCATGTGTGCATCATTAAAAAAGATTCCATTCTCTTCTCTCCTCATCTGATGTGGCACATTCGGAGAGACAGCAGTCTGTTCAGAACAAATATGCAGGTGCAGGGATCCCTGATGGCCTAGGGGTTAAGTCTCAGTTCTACCACTGCATTTGCCCCCCTCTACTGCCTGAGTTCCATTCTAGGCCAGGGAGGTGACCCACGGGGTGCAGCAGGCCTCTCCTGTCTCTCCCCCTGCTCCCCTCGGCAGTGTATTCAGTAGATCTGCCTGTTCTGCTCCCAACTCAGTCTCTGGTGAGTCTCACCCCCCTGCATCTCTGACTTATAACTACACCCAGTTCTTTTACCCAATAAATAAATAAAAATCAACAAGCAAAACCCCAAAACAAGATGGAGATTGGCTGGATCTGATGCTGCTTCATATCCTCAGAGAAGTTAGCTAGGTTAATTACTGCCATTTATTTTAAATCTGTTTTATGACTTACTGGCAAAAATAACGAAGAGTCTGATTTGGATGAATTTAATGAAATTAACATTACAAAACAAATTCAGCAAAAACGGTTCAGTTAATTGTCCCTCCTCTGCAGATTGCCCAGTCTCTGTGGGCACCTAACTCTTGGGGTAGTTGACTCACTATCCTGTCAAGGTTGTAGGAGATTCAGTGTTGGAAATAGAGTAACAAAGGCTGATTGAAGCCCAAATTGAGTTTCTGTGGCAATGCAAAGGTTGATGGCATTAACAACAGGGAGCTACAGCATAATTGTTAATTTGCACATCTATTAGGATCTTAAATATTCATTACTTAGTATTAAATTAACATTCTGTGTAGGAAGGAAAGACTTTTTAATATAATTCCTCTGACCTCAGAAATGGCAGGAGGTCAAATGTGACCACAGTGCTGTAAGTAAAAAATCAGGTAGGGTCCATTTAGACTTACAAATTAAGAAGCAGAATCTTCTTTTCCAGAAAGTAAATGAAGATTTTCAAAATAATAACGATGATGACAAAGGCGCCCTACTTTTAAAATTGAGAAATGAGAAAAGCAGCATTTTAACTTGGGTCATTTCGATCAGTGCTGTATGAGTCTGACCGTTGGGAGGACTGTAGCAATGTCAGACTTCCAAGGCTTTCACCGGGTGTGAAGAGGTCTGTTCTAATTGTTCTGGTCTTTTGTCCTTTAAGTAAAGGGTCATATGAACTGTGTAAACACATTCATGGCTTGATGTTTACTTAATCAGTGTGCAGATCTGACTTTAGGACATTTTTCTCTTTCTCTGGGAACAGATAAGAGTTAATCCATTGAAAAATATTTAGAAAAAGATAATTTCCAGCACATAAAGACTGAAATTTTTTACCTCATTTATATATTAAGCAGTTCTAAGGTTTAAATTCCCTTCATTCTGGAGCTGTGCTTAGATACAGCCATTTTTCTTATAAATTTAACTAGAAGGTCTTCTTCCTTAATAATGACTAAATATTATATCTTAAAATATGATTTTGTATCATACCCATACAGCTATAAATCAAATGGAGCCTTAATAATCATGTAACAAAACATTTTGTAGATTGCATATTGATTTTTCAAAATTAAAGATGTATTTCAAATGATTCTGTGGTACGGACATATCTTTTTTGCAAGATCTGGGGCTATTTTTTTAAAGGTATGAAATCAATTTCAATAACCATAAACAATTGACTCTCTGTCAGGGAAATTATAGTGCTTCACTATTAAGGAGAAGTAGTCGGTGAACATGGCATCTTGGTACACTCTGAAAGAACACCACCAAACTACAGTTTGTAATGTCAAATGCTGGTTTTTAAAAGAGCATATAATCATGACACTCATAAAAATATGTGCCCAGTGTTTTTCTTAATGCACTAACTAAAGAGGGAACTGGTAAGATGTTACAATGTGTTCTAAGGAGAATTCAAAGAGGAAAGACAGAAAACAGGGAACTTAGAGAGAACTTATACATGCTGCTGAATTTTGAAAATTTCTGCCTATCTTTTAAATTTCAAAACTATTTGAAAATAAAACTTCAGAAAGGCCTGATTATTATTAAGCACTCCTGTAGCCACCCACAGGTGTAAGAGGCATAAATTTAATAATCTTAGTAACAAAATTTGTCAAACACACATCAATTGATCTGTTTCATCTCAACTTCACCAAGACTCTCCTGTTGCTCTAACAGGGTGGTCCCAGGAAAAGGAGAGGTTCCAGGTTCCCTGCCCTACCAAAGGATGGTGGAGCTGAGCTGGGAGAAGAAAGCTAGGGAGAGAGGACGGAAGAGGAAGGAAGCAGGATGGAGAGCCAGGAGACATGAGGAGGCGCAGGGAGCAGAGAGACATGTGAAGAAGCGGCTCTTGTTTCTTGGTCCTGGATTTGTTGAAACATGGGTGGATGAGACCCGTGGGGAGGTTAACAATGGCAGCATTTATTTTGATTTTGGTTTTGCTCTGTTCCTCCCCTTCTCATCTGTCCATTTCTGACCCTTTTCTATGGGTCCCCGCCAGAGGGTGCTTTAGATTTGTGGCAGAACCTATTTAGAGCAGGCAGGTTTGGAGGTTCTGGGTTGTCCCTCTCCCTGCCCCATAATATCCTCTTTTTTTGTTTGTTTGTTTACGCATAAGGATTCCACTAGAGTTTGACATGTCCTCCCTGCCCCTCCTCAACCCCACTCCCCCCCCCCCCCCAATT